TCAATTCATTACCGTTATCAACTATCTCGACCCGGCATAGAAACTGCCTCGTGTTATTGTGGTCACCTGTTCATCACCCACCCGCTATGATTATCCTACCGTCTTCACCGTTGTCTCTGTTCATTCTTTCTTGCAATCAGTTATTTCTTGACACATGCTACCACCCGTTTTGTATGTTTAACCACCCCAGACACCCTCCTTGTGTCCGTTATCTATTCTGTCAATTACACCGTGATTACGGTTGTCATCTGTTGCCCCCCACTCGTGTGTCCTGACGCCCATTCGGGGGTTCGGTATCCGCGAGTCACTCTCTCATCTGACGCAGTGGTTTAGCCGCTGTCACCGGCGTGCTTTGGATCCTGTGGTCCAAGGTTCGAGCCACGCCACCTCCACCCAACTTTGGTGCTAGGCAGCTTTGTTGTCACTCGGTTTTATACCACGTCTGACAGCGGGGCCTTATGTGGTTTGCCATTCCAAGTCTCGGTGCTTAGGTTGCCGGTTACCATCACTGAACAGCAGGTCTTTGTGACTAGGGGGGCCGCCCTGATTGCTGTTCATCACACACTGGTGTGTAATAAAAAAGTAAGGCACTGTCCAAAAGGTACACTCTTGGATTGAACGACCAGCTAATAGACATAATGACATTTCGTAGGATTTATCGGTAACTCTCACGCAAGGGACCAGATCGTCAAAGCATTCAGGAACTTTCGCAGGGTGTTCACGTCAAGTTTCGACTGGATTGGTCACCAGATTTCTACATCGTGCACATACAGCAAACAATCAGATTCAAAACAGTCTGGCAAGTCATTCATGAAAAGCAGAAACCAATATTGTCCTCGGCACCAACCCATAAGTAACACCACTGGAAACTGCCCACGACGGTGATCGTGCCCCTGACGCTTTCACTGAGAATAGTTTATCCTTCAGAAAGTCCTTAATCCGCGACATAAGCCGATTCTGGATGCCCATCGACCTCAGTTTCATCAGCAGTTTCGCATGCGACACTTTGCTGAATGCTTTACTGAAACACACGAACACAAAATCCGTGAAATAAACATTAGCTTTGGACTCCGACCAATATTCACCCGCCAGAGGGAGATTGAATAAACAGGAGCGGCATTGGTGGAAGCCGGGTTGTCGGGGGGAAATAAGTTGTTGCGTCTCCAGGTGACAGATAATGTGCTTGGCTACCAATTTCTCCAGCACCTCACTTACCACAAAATTCAAACTCACCGGACGATAATTGACTGCGGCTTGTTTATCGAAACCTTTCAAGAACGGAACAAACAACGCTTTCTTCCAGTCCGACGGTAGTCGGCAGTCCGGAGGGACATGTTAAACATATTGGAGAGCGGTATCGAGAAGACATCAGTAAGTTTCCTCAGCACTAAGGGGCAAACACCATCTGGACCAGGGGATTGATGTGGACGAAGTGCACGTAGTGCCTTAGCGACTTCATCGGCTTCAAGGTAAAGAGCACTCACTGGAAGTACGTCAGGAGACTGTGAACATTCTGTGAGAGGTTGTGGGTATGCAGTTTGACATATCCGTTCCTCCATACACTGAACCATAGTGGCTTGCAAGTACAGCAGCATTGTCTACGTCAGTCAGCGATTATACCACTCGCTATAAGACTGGGAAGTACGGGCACAAACCTGGTCGTCCTTTTTAAATACGTGAACCTCTTCGGTGCCGAAGCAGATTCAGAAGCTAGACGCTCCTTAAAAGTACGGCGTTTGACCATCTAAGATACCGAGCACCGGTTGGTGATGACTTTGTACACCTCAAAGCCAACTTGTGATGTACAACAGTGCTTCGAAACACCATTTCGCCAGGGGAGCAAATATATGGGATCGCGATGGAACCAGGGTCGCTCCTTGGCATGACGTCAGCTCTTACGTACAGGGGTGAACCGTTGCACCAACTGCAGGAGTCTGTTTAGATGATGCACCACGACTCTTCAACGTCTTCCTTGTATGCCCAATCCTACTGTATCAATGGTGCTGCTGTTTGCAGTTCGCCGAACTATATTCGCCATGCATTACGTCCTTCTGGTCATGGTTTCGGAAACAGCCGAATGTCTCAAGGGAATATTTAAGACATGATCACTGGCACCGAAAGGTGAAGGGAACTCGATGCGAAAAACACCAAGCATTAGCCGTTCAAAGGTACCATCCCGAAGTGTGCAAACAGCTTGAATGGCCTAAGTCTACCTTAGTGGTATGAGCTTTGTGATTAATCTTGATTGTAACCTTTTTCGGGACATGATTGTTTTTTTCTGACGGTATATTATTAACCTAATAAACTGCAGTATGCACGTGTACGGATGCATCAAAATAATGAAGGATACACTGTGCAAACCTGCTACTGGCTCCCCTATTCTAAAAAAACAATAAAACTCAAATATTTTATTAATAAAAATTGTTAACAATTGCCATTAAAAATTCTGAAGAAACCTATTGCTCATATCGGAAACCAAGCTGATTAGTGTACCTTTCAGTACGCAATAGAATGCACTCACCATCTGCACTTCCGACAATCGCACCAATGACACCTTTGTGAGACAAAATCCTTTTTAGTGTCTCTTCCACTTCAGACTGTAAGAAAAAGTAAAACGAAGATACAGATTACAGCGCTGTATATACGTGCGTTTGTATACTATTCGTGAGAACGAAATGAAAACGAAACTAATAAAGATTTCGGTGTTTTAATTTTCAACTTTTACATAATTAATTAGTCCTAATAGAACAACCAACAAGAAAATTTATTGGTACAGTTACTTTTCCTTCTTTCGGGACGCCGCGACTCTATGGGATGAGAAAACAAGGAAAGTCAGATGTTACAGATAATTGAGATATAGTGGTGCAAAGTAAGACGAAACCGCGAAACCAAGACCTACCATGATGCACGCGTACGTTCGACCTTGAACTGAATTGCGGTCAACCAGAAAATCATGGCAACGAAACGACCGGAGGTCATTCAAACTCAGTCAGTCAGTCAGTCAGTCAGTTTGCACAGGACAGGAGATGGCCACGGCCAATCG